GGGAGGGCAGAGCCCGGCCCAGCGGCTGCCTCCAGCTCCGGCTGCAGACGGGGACGTAAAGCACCAGGTACTTTGCAGTAGGGTCCGATATTGGACTATCAGCAAAAGTTAATCCCAGTCACATGACAGACTTTACATGTGCTGTCGTAAAATCTATCATTATTCAATAGGGCATGGAAATCAAATCCTGCTGCGGACTATGAAGTAGGAATCTTTTAAACGGTTTGTGTTTACTGACAGGTATGCTGGTAGTGATCGTTACTTTTGAGACCTCACAGAAAATACAGAAATGTTTTGAATGCAAACTGGACGCTGGCTTTACCGTATTCATTGCCCAAAATCAAAAACCACAAACTGGCTGCACGCACAGCTTTCCAAGCAGGTTGCTTTCAGTTTCTCTACTTTAAAGACCATTGTTTTGTTAAAGACAAATAATAAGGAAACTGCACGACGCTGACCTGTGTTTAGTGATACCACTGTTTGCAGGATCCTCACACACATACACAGTCGCAGCGATACAAAAATGCCTTTTGCCACAGAAGAAAAACCTTTTTCTGTGGACACAGCTGAACCGGTACCATGGCGAACAGCCTCATTTATTTCAGCTGCACAAAGGGGCTGATCTCATATCAGTTTAGGTCAATGGAAATTGTTTTACTGATGTTAGCAGCACCGCGCTGGGCCCTGAGCCGGCTGGAAGATGCACCAGGTTCCTTAAGTGTTTCTTATCCTCATCTTTCTAATGCACCGAGAAAAGACTTCATTGTTTCTCACGTTATTTTTTGTTTTGCAAATCCCACATCTTTGTCCCCTCCACGATTACTGACAGTTTCTGTCCCTTAGTTTTTCCCTTGTTGACATGGGATCTGCACATGGAAGCTGCAGGATGGGAAACCTTAAAAGGCAGACAGCACTTCTCACCCGAGGGGGTCGCGATTCCCGAAACCCTGCTCCCGCTTCTGTCGCCACACTGACCATCCGCTTCCACCTCGCCTTCCCTCCGCCAGCCAAATTCGCACTGGTGACCATGGACTGAATCGTAGCGTCAGCTGAAATTCTGAACTGTCCAAGGGAATGGCAGATGACAGAAAGGCCCCTTTAAACTATGAACTTGTTATGGAAAATTATTGTTGAAAACGGCTCATAGAGGCTCTGAAGGGAGGATGCAGAACGGGCAATTCCAGCTGCAGAAGAGCTGCTGCTGAAGGGCACGTACCGAGTCTGCTGGTAACAGCGCTGTGGCAGCACTCAGGCTCTGCCGGCGTCTGACTATGGGATATTTCTCCTTTCCGCTGGGTCACAGGGAGATCATCCAAGTCATGAGAAAGAGCTCTTCAGGATAAGGACTATAAACTGTAGGTAAGCTGTGGATGCCCCCAGTTTTCCTGGTGGAGATGCTTGGACATTTCACATGGATTGCGATGTAGCATTTATGAATTCGATTTTTCCCTCTCCCCTCTGTGGACACCTTGGGAGCAGGCCATGGGCTCAATCAGGGATCACCCTCTAGCTTCAGAATTAGTGCTGTCTTTAACCTGTGCATATT